TTCCCTTCTTTTACTGACCGATGCTCACCTGTCTACTCGGCTCCTGTGCACGTTTGGTCTGATCACACCTGCCTCATGGGACTGGATTTCATTTGGGTCCCTGTCCAAATCTCCTATTCTCGGGGGGTTCGAAGGTCTTCCTAGATACTTTTCTGGACCTGTATTTCACAAAGCTCTGGTCTAAGCCCTTAGCTGGCAGCTAAGAGGTCCCGGTTTGCTCTGGGAGCATTCGTACTCTTGTAAATACCAGTGTGACTCTTACTGTAAACTTTCCCAGAACAGGGAAGGCCCAGAGAGTCGCCAAGTTACAATTCTGGGAACTTGGTCCATGTGTCCTTCAGCTGTTGTAGGAGCAGTGCGCAGTGGGTCCCTCTCACTGCTTCCAGCATGTATCCTCCAGGAAAGGCTGTCTGGAAGCAGTGATTCAGAGCTTGAGAGTGCTTTCTTTGGTTAATAATATCAGGTGTAGGAAGTAGAGCCTGCGGTGCACTTGGTAAAAAGGGGACGTCGTCTTTGTGAACTGATGGAAGCTTTCTGCCTTAAGCCTGGAAAGGTGTAGGGAGCCTGTGAGAGATCATGTGCCACATGGAAGGAGTCCTGGGGACACTGGGCTGGGAGGGCCAGTATTTCTGGTGCAGCTGCAATACCAGCCCTCATTGGTGGTGCAGAGTAACTCGGTGCCACTTGGAGAGCCTTGCACCAAGCAAGTACAGTTGCAGTAATGCCAGCTATGCCTGTAGGCTGTTGCAAACACAGTTGTGCTTGGATGATCGAGCGTATCAACAGCATGGCAGCAGGAACTTGCAGTGCAGAACATGGCTAGGTAGAAAGAACTCAACTACCATTTCTTCATCTGTTGGATGGGAATAATCTTTCCCTTACAACTCTGTGTGTGCGCATGCATGAAAGGAAAAAATAATGTTTGTAAAGTGTGTAAATGCTAAGTATTTATTGGCAGGAGACTGGATAGAAGCATTACCAAAGTGAATACAGTGAGTGCCTGTATATACGGCAGGATTGGCATTAAAGATATTACTGTTAATACTTCCCTGTGCCTGAGATTTTTCCCTTCAGTTGCCAATTGCTCTGTCCACAGATTTCAATCAACGCACAATTATCCAATGATGGTTTGTTAGGATTTTTATTTACTTCTAAAATGTGAGGCCCTTGCCATGAAAACCAGTGCTCTGCTCTTGAGTGTTTAATAGATAAGGAGTGATTTTTATAATCTAGTTGATTGCATTTCAAATTGCAGGCAGCTTCTTGCGAGGGCCTTTGTTTCTCTCCTTGTCACGAGACTTGCACCATATTGCAGCAAACCAAATGTTTGTGTGTCTCATCAGTGCAAAAGCAGTTTCTTAATTAGACAAATGTTCAGCGATTTGACACCAAAGTGATAGAAATACGTGTGAGCTAGATGGAGAATCGCAACAGCTGAACCAGTGTCTGACCTGGAAGCCAGAACTCCTGCACTTGCTAGACATTTACCCCATTTTCCTCCTTACGCTGTTGGCTTTTCAGGACAGGAATGGTCTTCCTCTGCATTTATAGTGTCCGGCATGGGGGGACTCTAGTCCTGACTGTGGCCTCTAAGTGATCATGGTTGGAGCTGGGAGATTTTGATTCTGCCACAGATTTGCTTTGTAACCTCAGTTGTGTCCCACAACCTTCTGCTTGCCCTGTCTGTAATGTAACTTCACTGTCTTCCTGCAGAGGAAGGCAGGGAAGCTGAATAGGGCAGTTGTGATGTCCTGGCTCTGCCTCTTTTTTCCATGTCACACCTTTTGGAATAAATAAAAGACAAGTTTTGGATGTATCTGATACAAGCTTTGGAGACTGACACCCATGTGGCTGGCCAGAGTCATCCCTGGGAATCTCCACTGACTGTTGTGGTATTACAGGGAGGCCAAACTTATTCCTGCTGTACCTGTCTGCAACTGTTTTGGATCAGGAAACAGATGCTCGGTGTGTCTTACTCTCTTATAACGTGGTAGTTGAAGCTGGGGATTCTCCAGTGTTTCTGGGATCAAGAGCCACTACTAGAGATGGCTTTGTAATAAGGTGAATGTTGATCCTCTGCTCCCATGTTTCCTGTGCTCTGATCTCTCTCTTTCTCTGGTTTGTGCTAACAGCCGGTGCTGCCTCATACTGCTGTGTGTCTGGTGTGCGGAGAAGCTGGGAAGGAGGACACGGTGGAAGAGGAGGAGAGCAAGTTTAATCTCATGCTAATGGAGTGTTCTATTTGTAATGAAATCATACACCCAGGATGCCTTAAGGTGAGTCGAGGGAAGTGATAGCTGCTGGTAGCAAAAATCAGAGATGGCCATTGCCTTCATTTGCAGACAGTGCACTGAAACTGTGTCACAGCCTCAGGGTGGACCCCAGAGGGGATGCAGTAGCATGATGGTGCCCCTCCCTATCCCCCCCCTCCTGTCTTTGGGACAACACTGTGGGAGCTGGGGACATTTTAAAACCCTGAAGCAGGTAAGACTCCCCAGCCATCCCATGCTTAGTGGCACATCCCCTCCCTTCTTCTACCTGCTGTTGCTGCTGCTTTCTCCCTGTCTCTGGCTGATTGGAAGTGGGGGGAGCTCCAGAACTGCTCCTGCCCCACTCCAGCTGAGTTGTGCTGAGAGCCAGGCTTGCCTGGACACAGCAGCAGCGGGTGGGTTCCTCCTCTGGGCCTGGTCCCCCTGGGTGTTCTCTGCCAGTAGGGAGCAAGTGGAGGGAGGGGGAGCCAGCCCACCTGCCATCTGGGTGGAGCAGGGGCAGGAGCAGCTCTGGATTTCCCCCTGAAATCAGCTGGGGACAGCAACAGTGGTGGGCATGAGGGAGTGCCAAGAGCTGGGTGCGGGTGGGATTCTTACCTGATTTGGGAACTTAAAAATGTCCCTGGCTGCTGTTCGTATGGTGTGGTCTGATTGGCTGGGGGCGGGGCCAGGGGACAAGGACAGGGAGCTGGGAGTGGGGGGTGCAGCTACCCCTGCCGCACTGATTGTTGCTCCCCACCCTCTCCCTTAAGAGAATCTGGGGGCTGCCCATGAGTGGCCCAAACGCCTTCTCGTTGGAGGCTGCAGTGAATGCAGAGCTGGAGCCAGGTGCAAGCTGGTAGCCCATTTGAACCATGACTTTTGGACACCTCCATGCCATCTCGGGTGCCAGCACTCGCCTGACTCCATCTCTTCCTCTCCCAGCTACCAGCAGGGAACGGGTCTCTTCCCCCAAATGGTGAAGGAAAGAAACTGAATGTCTGTGCGAGTGGCAGTATCATGGTTTGGTTGGGCACTGGTAGATCCCACATACCCTTCTCTTCTGCCCCGACCTCATCAGAGATGATTTTTGGCCCCTCGTATGAGGGGGTGAGTTTTCCATCTCATTTTGAGGGGAGATATGGGCATAGTTGTGTTTTGGCCGACAGCTGGGCACTGGGTGTCTGACCTGCACCACGGTTGTGAGGAGTTAGCAGCTGGATATATCACTCGAGTGAGTCTGAGAGATGTTGTGGCCCTTGGCCCATATGGGCTAAGGTCTGACTCCTATCTTGTAAGAGGCTGAGGTTGCACCAAGTTGGGGATGTTATGGGGCACGTGAGGTGGCTCCTGCAGGACAGTAATGTTTGTGACCTGGAGAGGGCTGCCCAGGCACTTGTGCAGAGTTCAGGTCCTTGCAGAGGTGTTGGCTGAGCATCTCTGCTCAACTCTGTGGATCAAGCGTTTTGTTTAGGGGTGCAGATGAGTTAAGAACACAACCCCCCTCCCACTTCCCTCTAGGTAGGGGCTTCCTAACTCCCTGGAAGGACCCAGACTGTGTTTCAGCCAGGCACAGACCTCACTTGGCAGAGACTGGCTCTATCTCTAGGGCACAAAGCGAGCAGGTGTCAGTCCTTAGCAGTGTTCAGCACTAGGCAGTGCTGCCTAGACTTGAGGAAGTAGGCGGCTGTCCCTGTTAGTGCAAACAGGGCAGTCAAGCCTGGGCTTGTCTAATCACCTGGAGCCACGGCTTGTGGGAAGCTCCTTGGCTGTTGTGCTGGAAGGACTGAGGAATTTGGGTTGCTTGGTCTTTCTTTCCTGCATCCTTGTGCCAACTTATGGTTGAAGTGGTCTTTCCACTGCCTTGGCAATACGTCCCCCAGGACCCCCTACTCCCAGGGGGCAACACTCAGTGGTGTTGGGACCTGCTGTGCAGCGGAGACTGCGCTCTCTGTGCAGCCTGTCGGCTCCGTAGCATCTGGGGGTGTATGAATGGCACCGTTTTCAGAGGTGCTGCTGTGTAGATGGGCTGGTGGCAAGGAGCCGCAGTTGCTCAGCATTCCTGAAAACAAGGCCTTGAGTGTTTGGTGAAACAGTGACGTCCAGTGCTGCTGGAGCTAGCAGCTAGCAGGAGAGGGAGCTGCGTGCTCTGCTCTGGGGCGTGTCATTCTTGACTTCCCTATTTCAGTTCACACCCCCACCCATCCTAAACCTGTGCTAGATGCTCCTGCCCTGCAGTCTCATGGAGCAGCACCCTTCGGGACTGGCTGTATTGCACAGAATTGGATAGTGGCAGCTGAGACTTCCTCCATCCCAAACTAAAGGAGGTGGGTCTGGAGGAGTGAGCGTGACCATTCACAAATGCCATTTCCCACCCGTGTTGAGTGTCTTGTCTCCTGGATTCATCTGTTGAGGTGACTCCACCTCTCCCCTTGCAGTCTTGTGCTGCAAATGGCTGAACAGGCACCTGGGGTATTTTAGGCTCCATTGCAGGCTATTCCAGGTTATAAAGGCCATCTGACTTCGAAGTCCCTGTCTGGCTGCACAAGTCTAGCAGTCAGTAACCTCTTCCCCACCCCCCTCCACCACCCTTCCTGCCCCCGTCAGAGAATTGCTTTCAAGTTTAATTTCATCAAAGGGTCCATCTCTGCTGCAGTCAGGGTGACTGCAGGGTAGCGTAGACATGCCCAAGTTAGATTTCAGCATGCCAGCTCGGGTACCAGGAGCAGTTCGCCCCTGACAGCATGGGGCTCGGTGCAGCCTGATGGCCTCAGCCTTGGCTGCTCTCGTGTGGGCTCTGCAGCCTGAGCTGTGTTCCCCATTGCTGCAGCTAAACAGCTACTGTCCCTTGGCTGGCTAATTGAAAGCTAGTTTGGGTGTCTCAGTACGCCGTCATGAGAGCAGTGACTGCAGCATAGAGATACCCTAAGGCTTCTCCCACAGAGGGCTGTTTGCATTAAACACTCAAGTGGGATTGCACCAAAAATGGAGGTTTAAGTTTCTTGCCCGAAGGACCATGTTGTCAGCTGGGGGCTTGTGGCACACTCCTCTTTTCTGCCTGAAAATATGACCTGTGCATCCAGGTTGCTGAAACTAGACCTGCGTGTGGGAAGATCACTGAGTACCTTGAGTGCAGAGGCTTTTCCCCACAACCAGCCTGTAGGGTTTTAAAAGGAATCTGCCTTTCATCACTTCTCCTTCTCCCTTTCCTAAGGAGAGCTTAGCCCAGGCTGATTAATTCAGCTAATGATCTAGTACGCTCCAAATCACACTGCTAATGTTGGTGACTTACTGCATTAGCTTATGCTACATTTCTAAGGAACCCAGATTAGTTTTCACCCATCAGAGAATGTTCTTTGCTGAGCCCAGATCCTTAAAGGAACAATAGGCTAAAAGACACTTGGGTGCCCCGTTCCTAGGGACGTTGATGTGATGGTGCCCGAATACCTGTGAAGGTGGGAACCTTAGTCCTAGAGATCTGTTTCTGGGCACTTTTTTCCACACCATTCTGAGTGAATTCAATACTAGCCATTCACCCCCAGCATTTGCACTAGGTGTGTTGGCAGAGAGGGCTGCTGTGTGCCTCTGAGACCTTGCCCTGTATGAAGGCAGCTCTGCCAATGCACTCTGCTTCCCTGTGTTTAATCATCACTGCTTACTCCAGTCCTGCTGCCGGAGCACTGCCACGGTGCATGTCTGGCCTAATGATATCAGAAAAGTGCTCCCTGGTGATCCCCACATCCTCTAGTAGGAAGACTTCATCATTGCATCATCCCGTGTTTGGACACTTGGAATTACTGTCCTCATATTGCAGGTACATTACTGAAGATGCCTCATACTGTGGCATAGACATCCACCTGCTGTTAGTAGCAAACACTCGGAGCTGGCTCCCACCCAGCCAATAAGGTTGGTGACAGATTCAGTGGCAGGTTTTTGTGTGTCTAATTAGCTTGCTTACAATTACCCACATCTGTTCAGTGCCTTAAACTTCACACAAAGGGGCCTAGCTGTAAAGTCTCCCCTATTGGTAGAACGTGATGTGTTCAGCGCAGGACATGACTTGTTCCCTCCTGGGACTGGGGCCTGGAGCTGCTCCCTGCAGATGGAAAGCTCCATAATACGTTGTGGAAAGGTCATGCTTTACAATTGTTCCTGTGCGTCTTGGGGCATCTGAGGGTAAGAAGTGTCCTCTTGGCTTTTAAAGAAGAGGAGGTGACTTCCTTCCCACTGGATCGGAGGCTCCAGTGTGTGGCCCACTAGCACTGGGGGAAGGGAAGGGTTCAGATACAAATGTGCTGTTTCACTGAATTGCAAGAGAGACGGTGTTCCTGGAAGCTCCCCTTAATGGTCCTCAAGGTTGGAGCCCTTGGGGGGCCTGTGCTGGCCCCATTGCTGCCTGTATTCCAGATTCAGCCCCCTCAGTTGTGCCAAGGCTGTGAGCCCTCTTTGGCTTGCTTCCATCATGCCCCTGGGGTGCTCTTTTGCTGCTGGTCTTCCTGGCTGCTTTGATCTCCACCTCAGTTGTGCATGTCCCTTCGTGGTCCCAAGAAGAGGTGGATCTAACTTGCTATAACAGCTTAAAAAAAACTTGTTTGAATCATTGAGATGAACCCACCTGTGAATGCCTGATCCTACTGCACTGTCCCTTGGTCTTAATGGGCCCATCCTAGTGCTCCTGCCTCGCCCTGCTTGGCACGTTTGGTTTTGTTTGAGAAATGGCAAGCTTTTGAAATTGCCCAAGTCTTTGCCAAAAGTAGCCTAGGCAGCAGCGTGTCTCATCAGACCACGAAGCCCTTAGCAGAACCGGGTGTGCCTCTGCCCCTCCAGCACCACAGTGCTAATTGGGGGATAGAGCGGGCCTTTCTCGCCGTGCATTTTCCGTGTTGAAGGAATGGGAAGATTGCGTGTGGGAGGAGGTGGGATTTTTATCGAAAGAAATTCTAAGAGACAACAGATGTTTGAACAAGTTTGTCTCCTGGAACTGGGCAGCAGACCCTTCTAGTACCAAATTCAACCCCTGCCAGTCCCCTGGAGGGAAAAGAGTGAGTGCATCACATGGGGGCAGCAGGTAAAGACTAGGGGATGACAGTCCATTTCTCTCTACCCACAGCATATGCTGGGTGTCAGAGTGGGACTGTCCCCTATATCGGCCAACAAGTCAGACAAGGAGCCACCCATTGCCTGTACCATGTTGGCCGGCCTGCTTTGTATCTCTGGCTTCCTCTCAGTGCTTCCTGCAATCTTACAGGGCCAGCATTGCGCCAGGAGGACAGGACAGCCAGCTCCTGTAGTGCATGTGGGAGCTAGGAGCCCCTGGGAGGGGGACTCCTGATCTGGGCAGCAGGACAGCAGTGCAAAAAGTCTGTCCCCTGCTGTTGTAATGACTGCCTCCAAGTGACCAAACCTGTTTTCCCTGAGTTGCCCCCATGCTGCTGTTCACTGCAATCTGGGTTCTGCCTCTCCCACCTAGGTGAAGGAGTCGGACGGCGTGGTTAACGACGAGCTGCCCAACTGCTGGGAGTGCCCCAAGTGCAACCACGCAGGGAAAACTGGGAAAGTGAGTTTCATCCCTGTACACACCAACGTTGGACCAAGATGCCAAACCTGGCATAATTGTGTCTTCGTACAGCTCCAAGGCAGGGGCACAGCTAGTTTAAGAAACGCTCATCCCAAATGACAGAATGTATTTTCAAGTAATATTGGCTTGCTTGAAAATCACCCTGCCTTCAGTAGCTTGCATTTTCACACTCCCTTCAGCTGAGATGAGCAATGAGCCCTTGACCCTCTTGTCTCTAATGGTTTCACATTCTGATATCACATGCTGACATCATCGCCAACCCTTGGCAGGGGGAGGGTGTTTTGGTCCAAACTCAAAACCAGTAACTTTCAATCTCAAGGATGAGCAAGTTCTGCTGGATCTTGAAAAAAGAGCCTTAAATGAGATCTAAAGCATCTCTTACAACAATTAGACATTGGGTTCTCTAACAACCAAGAGGGAGGTTAAAGAGGTGTGACCAAAGCAGGAAAAAAATCTGGAGAGGTGGAAAATGTCACCTTGCTGGCCACTTACCCTTAGAAACCTTGTGGTTGGTGACAGCCCACTATTTCCTGTCACATGTGGTGGATTTGTTGTAAACGGCAACAAAAAAAAAGAGAAGATATAAAGTTTGCTTGTGTTTTTTGTGTCTCTTTGGCGTACAAGCAAAAGCGCGGACCAGGATTCAAATACGCATCCAATCTCCCAGGCTCACTGCTGAAGGAACAGAAGATAAATCGAGACAACAAGGAAATTACAGACGCTGCAAAGCGGAAAAGCGAATGTGAAGAGACCCCCAGGCGGAAGTCAGAGGAACATGCTAAGAAGTCTCCTGTTGACTCCATCTCGAGGAGAAAGTCGGATGAGGTGCATCTGCGAAGGAAAAGGAAATTTGAGAAACCCCAAGAGCCTGCTATGAGGAAACGGGTAGGAGAGCCCAGAGCCCTGTCCCCTTCCCCAGCCCCCTGTGGCCTGTAGGTCAAGGGCTCGTGTCTCGTGCTCTTCTGCTTTAGCTGTCCTCTGGGTCTTTCGAATCCCAGTGATTGTTTGGGTGTGAAGGATACTGCATAGTGCTTCCCCTCCCTTTTTGAAAATGACTTGTCTGGTGGAGCAGGGAAATTTTCCACCTGGACTTTGTCCGTGAAGAGAAGCAGTGAAGGCCAGGCAAAGTTCCAAGGTTTTAGGAAAAATGAGGGAAGCAATTCTGAAGTAAGGAAGGATCCTACAATAGGAGGGGTGGCGGTTTAATTAACCTAATCCACGTGTAGCCACTGGGTGGTGCTCAACTCTTTTAACGAGCTCTAACAATGCACCCAACACACTCCACTTTAGAGACTGATTTTCCTGTCATCTTTGAAATACTGTTTCCTCCAATTACAGAGACATGGGAAAACCTGCTGCTTCCAGCTGCAGCATAGGCAACCGCTTGTTAGATTTAACTCGCTCGGTTATTTGTGCCAGACAGCAGCTGAATCTGTCACGTGCATTGGTTTAGTTTGAATTTCTAGGAATTGCAGATCAGCTTGGTCATGGAGTTAAATTACTTCTGTCCAGAGTAGATGCCTGTGTGCTGGCTTCTAGTAATGTGCGGGTCACTCCGGCAGTTCCTTTGCAAGGCATGAGACTTTGCACTAAGAGGTGGAATAGGGAGGGCCTGCGGCTGCACTAGCAGAGCAGGAGGGGCAGACTTGCACGGCACCCGCCTGTGCAGGTTTGACTTGTAGCCAGGATTGTTCTCTTCTCTGTGGGCACAGAGAGGATGCTCGTTCTCCTGGTTCCCACAAACATCCACAGTGTGGGGCCTTTTGTTCCCCAGTGTACGGTGAGGAGATGGTAATGGCTGAATCCCAACAGATTTTTTGAAAATCAAGCCATTAGTACTTCAGAGATTAGTAAAATAATCTCATCCATTCACTTCATTGTGTGTATCTGAACCAGTTCATTAGATCAGCTATTTATGGAGGATAGTAGGAGAATAGGAGTTTTGCTGGGTACTACAAAACAAATAAAATGCTTTTTGTTTTGGGTTTTCTTTCCTGGAACAGCTAAAACTTGGAAAAGAAGAGAAACTCTTCAGGAAAAAGGTACTTTGACACTGCTGTAATTCACGTGCCTTCCCTCTTGTGAGCTGAGTGGCCGTTCAGTTCCTCTGGCACTCGCATTGCTGGCCATTGGACCTGCTTGCATGACAGCCCTTCTCGATGCAGACAGGCTTTCCCCAGGGCAGGGGGATGGAGAGAGTCTGATTTTTATACTTCCTGTTCTGCTGAAATATTGCCAGAAATACAGACTGCTTTTTAAAGGCCAGAGAGTGAAGCGTTGCCCTCCCTACTGCTGTTCTGCTCTTCATAAGTGCTTGAATCTCAGTAATACACCTGGCTGTTTGTTTAATGGTGTGAGAGGTAACGTCCCTCCTGGCATGTCTCATGGCCTGCAGCTTGGTGGTGTGCAACTCCTGTGCACTAGTACCTGCAGACCAGCGTCACAGGTCTTTGGATGAACCAGTTGTAGTTCCTGGATAAAAGAATGCCACAACTGACTGTTGGCTGAATAAAATTTCTGTAATTTATTTTAAAGTTGCCTGCCACTAACTCCCCATGATTTCCCATAATAACGGGAGAATTTAAAAAGGAGAGAGTATTCAGATCTAATCTTAAATGCGTTGGCTGGGTTCCCTCTGGCTTTAGTTAATGCTCAAAAAAAAAAAAAGAAAGAAAAGCTGTGAGGTCTCTACAGTTTACAACCTAGGAGCATGCCCCTCTGTTTGATCCAGGGAGCTTATTGCAACAACATAGAAACTTTTGGCATAATGATTTTTTTTAGTGACACTATCTTGCTCCTTCCTGATTTAGCTAGTACTGCTCCATTGTAGCTTTATTGCCACTTTACTCTCTCTTGGTGTGATCCAATTAGACCTGGAGCTTCCCTTTCTTTTTGGCGTGGCATTGCACATCTTTTGCAGCTCTCTCCAATGTGCATCAGTGTGAAATTGGATCGTGGCAGACGAGTGACATGTGATTCACACTTATGAAAATGACCAGAACAGACCAGAGCGGGGCAGTTGACTCCACTACAGCCCTGCTTTGGGAGCAGGGCATTAGTGAAGTTCAGGGTGGATCAGAGTAGCAGTGTGTCAAGCTGTCAGCTGGATCACCCGCTTCATACGCACGTAGTGTGTAGGAGAGAGGCTTGGTCAGGGAAGGCCCGAGCTCTGAGCCTGTGGTGCAGCCCAGGTGTGGCTAGAACCACCGGTCCTGTGTGCTCCTCTTTATAAAGTGGGCAGCTTACGTCTGAGCCAGTCTGGAAACAGCCTGGGAAGGGAGCACATGCTAACGTTGTGTTATTACCTGGTGCACGTATTGTGACCGCTTGCCTATGGCTCCTGCTGGACTCCTGACATGAGTCCTTTAAAAATAAGCGCGCTGCCGTGCGGGCTGTATACACTGGGTATTTGCCAGTACCCGGAAGTCCTTGGGGCCCCTGCCTGGATTCCAGTTCTTTCATGGGTAGGGCCACTCTGCAGTATCCTCAGCATGGTACCACGGTCGGGAGAATGCGCAGGAGCCTGGTGTGGCTGTCTGCCCCGCAGCTCGGTGCCAAGGTGTGCAGGCCCCTGTTCTTGGAGAACAGGGCAGGAGCTTGTGGATTGTCAGCCTGTGTTATTGCCCCAGACTCTTTCTTTTCAGAGGCGATCGTGGAAGGCGACAGACGACCGACCCACTGTGGTCAAGCCCCTGCGGCGTCTGAAACAGGAGCCTGAGGAGGACCTGCCAGAGGCACCTCCGAAATCCAAGGAGAGTGACCAGTCACGATCAAGCTCCCCCACCGCGGGGCCCAGCACGGAGAGCGCCGAGCCCAGGGACAAGAAGAAGTTCAAGATACGGCGGAAAAGGCGGCTCCCGAATAAGGAACTGAGCAAAGAGCTCAGCAAGGAGCTCAACCAGGAGATCCAAAAAACCGAGAACAGCCTTGCCAACGAGAACCATCAGCCCATCAAGTCGGAACCAGAGAGCGAGAACGAGGAGCCCAAGCGGGCGCTGAACAACAGCGAGAGACACCACAAGTTCAGCAAAGGGCTGAACGGGACTCCTAGGGAGCTGCGGCACCAGCTCATGCCCAGCCTGCGGAGCAACCTGCGGGGCATTGCCCGCCCGCCCCCTTCGCTCTCTCCTCCCAAGTGCATCCAGATGGAACGCCATGTCATCCGCCCACCCCCCATCAGCCCCCCTCCGGACTCACTGCCCTTGGATGATGGGGCAGCCCACGTGATGCAGAGGGAAGTCTGGATGGCTGTCTTTGGCTACCTCAGTCATAGAGACTTGTGCATCTGTATGCGAGTGTGCAAGACCTGGAACAGATGGTAAGGAGCAGAGCAGGGTGGTGGTGGGGCGATGCGGTTCATCGGTGTACTGTTGCATCTCCTGAAGGGCTGCTCACGTGAAGCCCTAGTGGGGGAGAAATGGTCTTGTAAGGCCATGGGTCTCTCCCGATGATAGTGAAGGACACCCCTGAGGAGTGTGAAACTCGTGGAACAGGAGCGTGTGGAACAGCGCCCTTCCTTCCTCAAGAACCCTAGATCACACAGGAGGCTGCTCTGCAACGCAGTGGGCAGACTGTCCCTGGTGCTGCACCGTTGAGTTCTGTAGCCAGACGGTAGCAGAGAAGGAAGGCTCCTGAGAGGTGTAGGGGGCTCTGAGCCTGGATGCTGCTAGACTCTAGGCACCTGCTTACCAGCAGCTGTGTTTTGCTTCCATACAGTTAACGCGATCCTAATGCCCTCTTCTTCCTGGCCAGAGAGGGCCTTCAGGCTGCTCTATGGTGATGTTGTTGTTGTTGTCATCCTAGAGGATGATTCTGCTGGCTGTGTCCTTTCTCTGCTGCTTCATTGCTCCAAAATCTCTGATGATCTCTTCCATATTATTGATGAGGTGCCCCTCCAGTGCTGGGAGCACCGAATAAAAATTGACTCAGTAGTTCAGAGATCACCGCAGAACGTTAAGCTGCAGCGTAGGCTGCAGATCCCCGAGCCATGTTTATACACTTGGCTGAGCTTCCCGTAAAGAATCCCGTGGGCTGCCTGTCCGAAAGCATCAGAATGTTAATGCTGACCCAGACGGGCAGCCCAGAGCCCTTCCTGGCACAGCCCTGTCACGAGCTGGGCTGCCGACGGGAGGAGTGATAAGCTGGGAACGAGGTGTGTGGAATGAGTTCTTAGCACTCTCACAAAAAACCTTCCAAACCGTTTTGTTAGTACAGTGCAATACTTTCTAATGTAAGTTCATTAAGACTGTCACTGCTGCCAACAGTAGATTGGCAATGGGGAGTGAGTAGGGAGAGAAGCTGCCTGCGTGGGAGCAAAACCGGTGCAGAGAGAGGAAAACTGTTCAGTCAGGAGGCTGGCCAGGCTAGCTGAGGGGAAGCCGGTAGCGCCATGTCAATCGAAGGCGACATTTGTGCCCAAAAGCTAAAACTGCTAACCGTTTGTTAAGGCACGCAGTCATTTTCAGAAGCACTTTGTTGCCTTAGCACAAGTCCTGGGTAGCTTTCCGTGGCTTGTGAGCCTGAGTCATGCTGAAGTGAAGGTTGCTCGAGTAACAGGGTCTTGGAAACGTGGCCCCGCAGCAGTGTCGCTCTGTCTTTAGTTGGCTCTTGCCAGGATGTGGAAGCTTCCCACTCGTGCAGAACTGTCGGGATGTGTTCCTGCCTGAGTGCCGCCCCGTTCCTGCTCTGCTGCTCCCTGGCTACAACTCCTGGCACTCCGTGACTTTCAGGCCAGGCCAGGCCAAGCCCTGGCTAACGGCTGTGTTGCCTTTGCAGGTGCTGCGATAAACGACTATGGACCAAAATAGATCTGAACCATTGTAAATCCATAACTCCGCTCATGCTCAGTGGTATCATCAGGAGACAGCCTGTAACCCTTGACCTTAGCTGGACAAACATATCCAAAAAGCAGCTGAGCTGGCTCATCAATAGGCTCCCAGGTAAGGGGGAGGCGCCCGCCGCTGACCCGACAGCTCTGTCTGGCTCAGCCATGTCATTGTCCAGGAGGGATCTGAGTGACGGAAGAGACAAGGAGCTAGGATGCCCAGCATCAGCAAGGGATCAGAAATTGGTTGTGTGGTGGCTGCTCAGGGTTCCAGGTGACATGACTTTGGCAGGTCTGATTGAAGTGTCCCAACGAATAGCTTGGGCTAGGTGATGGAGAGCTGCCTCCCTGGGTCAGCCAGCAGAGTGGTGAGCGTGCCAGGCTAGGGTGAGTGATGGCTGCAGTGTTGTGGCAAAGCTTGTGCTGTTGCTGGTGCTGGGACTTGGGACTCCGGGAGCGCTAGGCGCACCCTTGATGAGAGTTTTACCTTTGATGAATCTAGCCTGGTCACTGTGCGTCACCTGCTGCAATGCCCTTTGTATTCCCAGGTCTGCGAGACCTGCTGTTATCAGGGTGCTCATGGATAGCAGTGTCAGCACTTTGTAGTTCCAGTTGCCCTTTGCTCCGAACCCTGGATGTCCAGTGGGCAGAAGGATTAAAAGACGCACAAATGAGAGACCTCTTGTCACCGCCAACAGATAACCGGCCAGGTAATGGTCACGGTCAGATGCCGGCCACAGGGGGTTGGGGGCATGCTGCTTTGCTTGGCCAGACCCTCTACCGGAGAAAATGAACCGAGCTCCACGGAAATGAGGAGTTGCATCAGTTTATTTTGGGAGGGAGGGATATGGGCCCTCCTTTATGGAACACTTGAAACATCTGAGGTATTTAACTTAGTAACCAGCAGTGCTGCAGTGCATCCCAGTGAGCTGTGGTAACAAGCTGTGGCCGCATGCTGCTGCCTGTTTGATCACTGCCACTGTGCTGGATGTCCCAGCTGACTTCCTTCCCTTGTACTGCACAATGGGTGGTTTTTAAGTTTGGAAATTTTCTTTCCCGAGTCGGAGCTCCCTGGGACATGCCGCATGCTCAGGTAGCTCAGAGGGAGATCTTGCTTGGTGACACGCACTCTGGATCTGACTGCAAGCATTTTAAGACCTGACTGCAGAAAGGACGCAGTGCTTGTTCTGATGAGTGTTGCACCCTGGCGTGTGTGTTCTTAGCACCGTGCTTCCTGCCTTCATGGCTTTGATGTCAGGGCTTGGATTTGTCCACATCTCCCTACCAAAGTGCACTCACAGGAAATGGTTCTTTCAGCTCGTGCAGAGGACCCCAAATCATCACCTCTGTGGAGCAGAGCTAACAGAAAACACTCCAAGTCTTATGACCCCAATCTGACATCTAGGCAATGTAATAAGTAAAACAGGTTCTTTGTGGATTTTAAATGGCTGCCTCTTCCCTTCTAAACATGGTTCCTTTTTGACTTGTGGAGCAAAACCTACACGTGTAAGGTAACGCTGATTTATGCAGGGAGATCGAAAATGCGCTCAACAAGGTAACTGGAAGAGTAGAGGAAGGAGAAAAATGCTCCCGTCACCTGAAGAGCTATAGACAGAAATGACCCACCGTCATATGAACCAACTGGGGCATCAGCACCATGCGTGACTTGGGGTTTGTGCTCTGCTGATGGCTGCAGAACTGGGGAGGTGAAACTTTAGAAACCCGTGCCACGTGTCTTGCAGGTCAGATCGACAACCGGAGTAAACTGCGGAACATAGTTGAGCTGCGTTTGGCTGGTCTGGATATTACAGACGCTTCTTTGAGGTTGATCATAAGGCACATGCCCCTGCTTTCCAAACTCAATCTTAGTTACTGTAACCACGTGACCGATCAGTCGATCAATCTGTTGACTGCGGTAGGAACCACCACACGGGATTCCTTAACAGAAATCAACTTATCAGGTATGTGATGAGA